TGTCGTCAGTCCCAACCTTGGTCTGAGTATGCTTTGCGTGTGTTCGCAACAAGCACGATCATGGCAGAAGGATTGGAAATTAAGTCTGGTAAAACTTCCAAACTGTCTTTTGAAATTCAAAATACAAAATAAAAATTTTAATATAATCATATAAGCCTAAATATAGGAGAATAAATTGTAAATTCACATGACAATTTTGAAAGATTTAATATTAAAAAGAAACAAAAGATTTAAATCCTTCATCCATTTTTATTGAATATACAGTAATTTATCAATAGTGAGAGAAAACATTACTAGGAGGTAGAAGGTTACATTTTAATCCTTTGAATCCAGTATTTTAATTTAACACATAACCTACAAAATCTGTTTTTAAATTTGATTTTGATGTTATTAGCAAATGGATTAGTACTGTATAGTATGTTTTTATAATCCAAAAGGAAAGTGTAATGTTTCTTTACAGAGGATTTACTTTTAATTCCCGAAAATCCTTGTTTATCATATATTGTGCAATTGTTATAATCTGAGAAAAAATATATCAATTTATTTTAGTAATTTCTCTTAAATGAAATGTTATTTATGTACACTACATTTGTTGTGTGAATGTTCTGCGGGTGAAACTTGTTCATTGTGCAATTCCTTTCGCAGTTTTGAATTTTTAAGTTTCGTTTTGTTTCGTTTCAATGTATTTTTCCATTCCCATTACATAGATTGACTACAAAACAGTATAATTACAATAAATGGAAGGAGACATATTGGTCATCGGCGCTTAAGCTTGGACCACCATTGAAAAAAGTGAAAGCTATGAAAATTGATAATTTACAAATTAAAAATTTGGAAGAGGAAATAAAAAGTAAAAGGAGAAATGGTTGGGAGATATATTCAAAATTAGATGTCCAGAATTTACATTAAGAAGTTAGAATAAATTGAGTTGGTCTCATATATAACTTAAAGTATTATAGAGATATTGTTGTGTCATATAAATATATTTAAGTAATAAAAAGTACAGAGGTATAAAAAAAAAACTTGTTACCACCCCACCAAAAAAAAGTGAAATCCAGAGGTTACTTGCCGTACATCGAGACTAGTGTTATTTTGAGATTACGTTTAAAGCTGGAAATTAGGATTTTAATCGTCATCATATCATAAAATATAATTTATAATGATCATAATAGAAAACTCAAAAATATCAGTAAGTTAAGTTCCAATGGAGACTTAATATTAAATAGGTTCCTGATTTATAGAACCTTTTTACTAGAAATCCTTAAATTTATCACCAGCCAATTTAATTGTGTATGAAATTCAGTTCTAAATGGTACAGTATTTATTATGTTAATTGCTGAGGAAAATGTTTTATTTCAAATTTTGGTGTACTAACATCATGTTTAAATATCAACGTAACTCATTTGCTAGTTATGGATTTAATTGCACTATGTTAGACCATCTACTGTATATCTCATATTTTGATTGATGACAATAGATTTGTCGTTGCTAAAAAAACAGTGCTAGAAAATATTTTCAAACAAAGATGATTTTATATTCTGTGATTTTCTAATCAAGTGTTCGTGATTCATTGTACTTGAGAATCTTATCCGTGCCATATGCATGGAATGGTACTTCGCTGAATAATTTAAAAACAATTGATTTGTCCTGTGAACCGTTGCTTAATTGAATTCAGTATGGAATGAGCCATTCTATTACTACACCTAGAAGAACTCTGTTACATAAATTCACCAACGAAGCTTCTGAACCAGTCGAATTGCTGTTTGAAAAACTGACTCGTTTCATCACCAAAGCAATTATAGAAAATTAACATACTGTGTAACCAATGCATACATAATCAAGACTAGTCTTGTGTGACTGTCTACAAAAATATCACTAATAGTAATTTTGATTTTATATATAAATTATATGAGTTTTTGTATAATAATTGTCTACTTGTTTAATATAAAGGGATACCAGTATTTTCAAAATTTTAGTAACTGTCAGCATTTTTATAGTCACTTACTAAATTAAAATCAATAGCACTTTAAAAAAAATAGAGGTGGAGGAACAAACATTACAGTAAATAAATATACAGGGCCCAGAAAAGTATCAATTTTTGTTAATATTTTAATAGTTAAAGTAGACAATATAGAATGAAGTTAGTGTTTTCACCTATGGTACATAAAAATTATAATTTTGTTACTGTATTTTTATGTGTTTGCTAAAATAATTATCTAACATATGAAGTAGGAGAATTAAATTTAAAATCATACCTTATGTAGAACCACTGTAGTTTATAGTTAATTGGTTATTTATTATTTTTCTGAGTTGTGAGTGATACTGTATGGCATGCCTCATGGCAACAGTGGTCCTACAACCTTTATTGCCACTCCATGGGGCACAAAAACTATTGTTTTCTACTGTATATTTTGCCAAAATAAATAAAGTACTATATTGTGCAATTCTTAACAGTTGGTTAGTACATTGACTAATCTTTAATCGTGGTGTATTCATGCTTGCTTAATGCAATAAATGTTCAGAAACATGCATGGTTATAATTTATATTCTTACTAAGATAGTTGGAATTTGTAATTGTCCATTTATCTACTAAGTTCTTATACAGGCTTAGTTTGTTTGTTTGTTTTTTGTGTTCCTGAAGAATTGTAAATTGCATTACCAGAGCTCAGAATGCTTGTTCTCGCCAGAAGTGGAAACCATTTCCTCTTCCGTGGCGGTCTTCATAAAAGTAAAACCTCGAAACTGGTCAAAAGATTAAACTTAGGAAATGATTTTCCTCTTCGCTGGTTTCATTTTTAATATACAGTATGTTGTTCAATTGAAAGCAAATATAATGAAATACAAAGCAATTCAAATGTATTAACGTTTATTTTTAGTTTATAAGATACTTTTCTTTTTGTTATTTAGCTGTCAGTCTTTTATAAGATATTTGTTTACCTACAGTTTAAGTGATATACAGTCAAAATGAATATTTTAAGATACAGTAGAATAGATCCCTAACATTTTGTTGGTTTTGACTGTGTTGGGTTTCAAATCAAAATTAGGAATGATTTTCCTCTTCACTGGCTTTATTTACAATCTATGTTGTTCAATTGAAAGCAAATATAATGAAATACAAAGCAATTCAAAGTAAGGTTTAATTTGAGTTCATCAAATACTTTCCTTTTTGTTATTTAGTTGTCAATCTTTTACAAGATATTTTTTTTACCTACAGTTCAACGTACAGTAAAGCAAATACAGTTAAAATGAATACTTTAAGATACAGCAGATCCCTAACATTTTGTTTGTTTTTGACTATTTTATGCTTTGGCCTTGTTTTTGTCAGTAGTTATTGGGCTACTGTACATCTTTTTTAATTTAATTGTATATCTTTAGCGGTATGCTGTAAACTTCAATTTCTATGAAAGCCTGGTTACAGTAGTTTTGTCCTTGTCTTTCAGTTGTAATTGGCCTTCAGTTTATTAGCTTATTGTGTGTCTCTCTCTAGTGCTAATGTGGTTAGTTGTTTAATTCTAGACTGTAACCTTTTGTTCATCAGCTAAGCATTCCATTTGCATGACTATTTCTACCTCAAGTACACACCAAGACATTTTTAGCTTAATCTTTAAGAATAGGAGTATTATATGTCTCAACCAGTGGCAGTTAACTGGTGTTGTATTGCGACAAGTTTTTTTTGTAAAGAATGAGGTGTGAGTAAGAAAATACTCCATGGTTTGCTTTTTATCGCTCATTTAACTACATTGAAATGATAAAATTAAATGATGGTGATACAGTACATTACTCAGTGGAATGGTAAACATGTTTAAGACTTGAATATAGAGTTTCTTAAACAGGCATAGCCACTAGATGGCTCTTAGAAATTGTATACATGACCATTCATTCTAAAAATGTAAATAAAATTTTGACTAGTTATATTAGTGATAAATTTATTAATACATTGACTTAACCACTGATATAAATACTTAGCCTGGCTTGAAATGTTACAGTGTACCATTTTAATTACAGGACCAATGATAGTACATTATGTCATCGTTTGTGCATTTTGGCCTTTTAACCCATATGAATATTTGGATAATTATAAAACATTATAGCATGCTTCATATAAGGCCAAGTAAAAAAAATTACTAGTTTCTCGTCTTCTCGCGCATTCATTTTTTTCTGCCTCACCTGATGTGTTAATTGTATTTTTCTTTTATTTTATGAAATGTACGATAATCTGGCTAACAGACATCAGTAAAATTCCTCTCTTGATCGTTCGTGGTTGGGGATACATGGTATGATTCATGTCTAATACTTCTTTTATTCGCTAGGGAGAAAGTAGTAGCTGTTTCCTATCGACCATCTTGGATTTGCCATCTCAGAGTTAAAAGAAAAAGGGGAAAAAAGTGCCCTCATTCTCCTTTTTTCAAAATATTTAGACAAGAAACTAATTTTCTTTTTACTTGGCCTAACAAGGAGTGAAAAATTTACGAATTTATAACTTAAAACTAAAAATAAATTGTACCATAACTGATTATACATGTATATGTGACAAATCATCACTAAAATAAATTAGAATTATGATAGTGTCCATATATTACCGATTTAATCATTTATTAATAGCAAGTAATATTGAAACAGTTATCTCTTGTGATCTGTTCCTGTGTACTGTACAGTACATTTACTGAAGTGATGCTAATTTATTTATTATTAATGATAAGTATTACACTGTATCTAGTTACATTTTAATAATATTTTATGTTTTACTGCTACAAATTTTGATGATAAAAACAGAATGAATGAATGAAATGTCTTTAAACATGGATCAATGTACCTACTTCATTTTTCTCAGAATCCTATTTAAAATATGTTGAGTAACCATTTGTGAATAAAGAGATTTGAAATCTTAGCTTAATTTTGCTGATGACTACTTAATTGTAGGTTATCACTCATTCTTTTTCCATTAGTTATTGATGCCAGTAATTATTATAAATTATCTCTATTTTCTTCTTTAATCTTAGTGACATCCAATACAACATCACTGACTATAACTATATTAGATGTGGATGAACCACCAGTTTGGATGATGGAATATATTCCGTACATTGCTGTTGTCAAGCCAAATGTAGCCAATGGTGTTTTTGTTTACCAACTCTACGCCGAAGACCCAGATGATGCCAATATTGAAATCTCCTACGAATTCTTCATTGGTGAGTTTGCAAATTGTCTTAACATGTTGTCATGAATATTCATGATTAAATGATAGTTTCAATTAAACTGACACTTTAGGGGACATGTGCATGCCCCACAAATATGTTGCACTGTCATTTTGTGGGATTTTAGTAAAAGTTAAAGGTTATTCATTTATATTGCGCAAAACAATATCCAAGGGTTGGAACTTAGTGAAAACACATGATTCTAATATTTAATCTTACGATCGAACTTAGTAAAGTTTGCTTGGTTTCTGTTTTGTATTTCTATTGTTTTAGCAACAACAAGTACTTTATGGTAAAAATAGTAATTATACAGATTTTATGTCGTAGCAAAATACATGTTTTCCTTCCTTGTTATCTTTGATGTATAACAGTATGCCATTTACTTTCTTTCATTTGTGTTTCTGTAACTTAACACATATTTATTACTCATTTCTTTCATTTAAAAAAAAATACTCACAAGGTAAGAAACCCACAATCTCATACGACAGAAATCTAAATGTCCTCATGCTATTAGTTATGTGCCTGGGCCTGGTATAGGTCTTAATAGATGACTGGTCTTCTGTAGCCATCTTCGGACATGGAAAAGCTTAAATATCCTAATCCTAGCTTAAATGAGATACAAAAGTATCAAGTAACTGTACCTATGATGCAACAATTTGTGATACAGTTGTTTAATAAATTATCATATGTTTTCATATTCGTAGCTGGAACTTTTATTATAGTATTTCCTTTTATTGTGGTCCTAAAATTTTGTAAATTTAAATGGCTAATGCATGTCAAACTGTTCCATGTCCGTGACTTTTATTCTGTTTAAATGTAGTTGGGATCTGTTGTAATTTAACCAGTAAGGTTAACGATATGAATACTGATGGCTCACAAAAAATGCACCATTAATTACATACTGTGGACTGAAGCACATAGAAATTGTAGACTGAAGCGCATGAAAATTGTACATGATATAGAGGCACTCCCATGAGATCACAGGCAGGCGCCATTTATTGACAGTAAAATAGATCTCTTAAGGAATAGAGAATATGAACGAGATATTTAAGCTGATGTTAAATATAAAAATATGCAAATACATCTAAAATAATGTAACCAATTTGGGACACTTTTTCAGCTTGATTGTACTACATGTGATTAAAAAATTCAGAAATATAATAATTTAAAAGAATGGAATGTGTAATGTTTTCTTAATGACATTGCCGATAAGTTCATTGAAAAATAATCCCATAGCCCAGATTGTATTCTCATAATTTTTTTTTATGTGTTTAAGATTTGGTTTATATTAGAATTATCACATCTGTGATATATCATATTCTACAAGGTGTGTCTTACTCCGGAAATGATGAGGATGTGGTATCCTAATGGTATGAGTCATGATATTTTGGAGTGGTAAAGGATTGAACCTACAACCCTGAGTCTTGGCATTATGGTTCACCTTAATTAATTAACCCTTTTAATTGCAGGGCCCTTGGTCAATTCCTGTCAAAACTCCACTCACAATATAAGACTTAGCTCCTCCTGTAGTACATTACTGATCTAAAGCATCTTGTATATATTTATAATTTAATTATTTGTGTTTGTATTCATATCCTGATTATAATAACAATTGATCTCAAATAAGATGTTAGTCCAGGCTAAACAAGTAATTAAACTAATAATATTTATTTGTCATATCTTGCCTTGTTTTGTCCAAGGTCTGGAACACTCCCCAGATAGAATAAAAATTTCTTGAGATATTAATATTCCTTTTAACAGTGATGGACAGAGCGGCATTGAATGTCAGTAATGAAATTCTTTTGAGTCTTGGTAAACTTATGATTCCTTTAGGCAGTCTGGAAAAATTGCTGGTATGGTGTATCATCATTTTAGTGTGATAAGGAGGTTGGATTCACTGTATTTCCATTTTTCTTACCTTACAGTATGTATAGTAATTGTTTAATGTCTCTTCTATTGATAGATACTGCAGGAGACATCTTTCGAGTAGATGAAACAACTGGAGAGGTGTTTACCAACTTTGGACCAGGGCAGAGTCTTGTTGGCATCACTGAGGTGATGTTGACTGTATCGGCCAATGAGAAAGACACAAACATGAGTTCTTATACCGATATTGTGATCAAGGTCGGAACTTATCCGCCACAGTTTACTCGAGAAATCTATTATGTTGATGTCACTGAAGGATCAAGTCCAAGAACGTAAGTTGAAATGTTTTGATTTAATTTTCAAGCTTTTTCTTTTTTTATCCAGATTATTCCACCTACTTACTTTTGCCTTGTTACTCTCTGTAGATTACTAGTTGTCAAAGCAAAGTCATTTGAACGCATGGGAATTGTAGCCTACTCAATTGCTGAAGACACATCGGGCATTAGCCATTCAATTAACAGTGAGGGAGTGATCACAATGAATTCTGTAGTAGACAGGGAGGTTCGCGATGGTTACGTACTCACAATCCGTGCTGATGATATTGGCAGTGAAATTGGCAGCGGGTATTGCAAGGTATTTCCTTTTGTATTATATACCATTCATAAAACATAAACAATTTCCTGGAGCTGAAGCTTCACAAGTTTCCTAAAACAGTCCCAGCATTTTAAGTGTGGGAAGCCTAAGGGGTCATCCATTATTTTCATCATTTTCACGAGAGTACAAAACATACTCTTTTTGCTAACCCCTCTCCCCCCCCCCTCCCTATGAAAGAGTACATGATAAATGATGATTTTCTTCCACTGTTTTAAAGCTGTCTCTTATACACATCTAGATGTGTATAAGAGACAGATATAGAGGCACTCCCATGAGATCACAGGCCTTAATAAATTTTTCATTCTGTTGTGTGTGCTTTTTTTTCCCCTCCTTTTGATCTTTTTGTTTAAATTAAAAATATCTTTGATATTTTGTCCTAAAGTACAATACTCCCTGCTGACTGGAACAACACTATCCTTAATTGAAAAATCTCAAACAATCTGCTACCAAAACTTGTAAAATACCACGTATGCAGCTGATTGCTTAGTTTGGTTACCATGACAATAGACTGACAACACTTGATGCCACAATCAGTCTACTGATATAAGAACATGAGCCCAATCCTTGCCCAATACATTGCCAAAATAGTGGTAGGCATAGGTTCCATTTTTAACACAGCAAACTTGTGTATATTAATAATAATTTATTAAAAAAATATAAACAACAATTAATAAACTTTCATTTTGTTTAAATTTATTATTTCCACATAGACAAAATAATTGAATATTTAGACAAAGTTGAAAGCAAATTCATGAAAAAATGACGCAGAAGAAAGAAATAACATGGCTAACCTTTCACCTAGATTGGTGGTGCGTGATTTGTTGAGGTTTTTTTTGGATGAGGGCCAATTCACTGCCTATGCTCAAGATCTTAGGATTGTTTGTGATTGATGATTGTGGAGTGATGGTGTGGTATTTTAGAACAAGAGAACACGTAAAACTTACGTTATCGTTAGTGTCTGTGGAACACAAAAAAAATAAATTGTGTTTTAAAATGAAAAAAAATTAAAATAGAGTGAGTGGATGTAGGCTCATTGAATTTAAAAGGTAAGAATTAGGCCTAGTGAAGTAGGAGAAAGGAGAAAAAAAAGGTAGACTTTGCCTAGCACAGCACAGTGAAACACATGGTCCCATTGCTCAGTGCTGTCAAGCTGTGGTTTAGGCTGCTGGCCTAGGCCTACAGTTTATTCAAATTTGCGGAGCTAGAGTGCATTTCCCATATATTTCGAAATTGTTTATAAGTACACAATGCTTATCAACACATCGTTAATCAGGGATGCAAGATGACGCTGTGTATAAACAATTGATAAACTTAACATTTAATCATGAATTGCTAGGTACAAAAAAGTAGGCTAACATTTCCAAATCGTCATTTTTGTACTTTTTGAAAAGCGTACGCACTTCAACCTCCTCCCCCCGCGTACGTTTTGTACGCTCGTGAAAATGATAATAATGGATGACCCCTAAAATAGTTGGGATAAACTACATTTCTGTTAAGCTTTGATATAGACAGTGGCTTATCCAAATGACATGGGAAGGAGAACTGGTGGGGTGCAAAGGTTAAGTGAGGAGATTTAGCTCTCTAAATAAGTTTAACTACTTGAGTGTAATTTTTTTTGTGAAGCATATTTCTTGTGCTCCGGTATTCAAACGTCGTCCACTGTGGCCTACCAAGATTTTGATCAGACCCACGAAACATTGATAAAAATAAATAATTTTCCAGCCGATTTTCATTTTTTGCAGAAAAAAGTTTTCTGTTAACAGACACAACCAACTGGCTTTTTTTCTGAGTGTAGCTTGCTTTATTTAGTGGGGTAAAGGATTAATTGGTTGGGAGGGGGGGCACAGATATGATGCGATGTCTAACAATTTGCAGCATCATCAGCGGATCTGGGGAGCAGGGTTGCGGCATGCCCTTCTGTTAAAGACACTGCTTTGAAGGCTTATTTTTTCAGTCTGGAGGTGCCATATTTTGAATTGCTCATTTAAGCCACAAACCATGGTAGGACTTAAGTGAATGTGGGTTGTTTTTTGGGAGTATCGGACTCCTCGTCTGGACATTTTTTTGGCACTGGCATTGTTTTTATCTAGTTAGTACTAGAGTGGATTTTTTTTGTGCTCGGAAAATTTCTATTGGTAGGATAGGAGAACTGGAATGAAAGTTTTTTTTATCACCTACTCTTCCACAACTACATGCATTCCCTCATTTTTCCAAAACAAGGACTAATATAGTTGACGTTAAAAATACATGGCCAATATTAGACCTATTAGGAAGACTTGTAGACCTATAAAAGAGAATGTGTCAGGCTGAAATTGAAAACGATTGGAAGTACACAATTTTTGTCAGCCCACCGCTGGTCTCTCTATAGATTGGAACTGGCCACCAGCATGTACTGTAAAGGTTGAATACCAGGGTTCTAGTGTGTATGCTGCTGGATATACAAATGGACCTTACCAAAGGGTCTAAGTAACTGACCAAGCAGAACTGGGCAGGAATATGCGCGTGTCCTGCAAACCCGCATGTTGTCCCACACTATTGATTTGTGTGACTTTGCCAACAATATTTTGGGTCTTAGCGGAAAGGTTCATTGAATCAAACTTAAAGAAATTTTACTGCTTTTCAGGTGTATGTTACAGTGCAGGATGTTAATGACCACGTTCCAGAGTTCAGTCAAGTGATCTATGCATTCCGTGGCATAAGCGAGGACATTCCTATCTACCGAAGTGTTGGAAAAGGTGAGATGAAGATAAAATAAGATTAGACACAATCTTGACTGTCACCATGATCTGAGATGTCAGATGATTAACTACAGTTTGTATGATCAGCAGCACTTAGAATATTTAACCATATATTTTTGTATTTTCTTCTAACATTTTATAATTAAAAGGATCCCTCTGGAATGGTGTTATGACTTATATACTTGGTTTAATTTTTCATATCGTAATTTTTATTTCATCAAATTTATGTTTCTCTGTTAAACTAGACTTTTAATTAGTCTTAACATTTTTTTATTCTTGTATCATTTATGATTGTTTTTACTATGTTAGTACCAAATTTGAATCAAATAAAAAGAATAGTATTTTTACAAATTACCAAAACCATATACAATGCACAGCGTTTCATTGTTTTTCATTGTTAATTTTTCAGTTGTCGTGAAGGATGATGATGGGGATGTCTTTGGTAAAATACTGTTCACCACCCCAAGTAACGTACCTTTCTGGGTAAACGAGGGAGGCAACGTCTATCCCAGTGGCCCTCTTGACTATGAGATTGATTCGCATCGTTATTCCTTTATTGTAACAGCCACGGACCTTGGCGGTTCCTCCAGTACGGCCACAGTCCGTGTTTATATGACTAACATAAATGATGCTCCTCCTGTATTTTCACAACCAACGTATTCGTTCCAAGTAGATGAGAATGCGCCTACAAATTACAAGATTAACAACGTGTATGCCACCGATCCTGATGGTGACGGTCTTACCTTCAGTATAAAGCGAGAAGGTCAAGGCTATGATTTGTTTGAAGTTGATCCCTCCACAGGTAGGTAAAAATCTTGAAAAATGTGCCATAATTTAAATGTAACTTATATTTCAGCCCTCCAGCTGAAAATCAAGAACAGTGATAGGAATTATACCACGGTTCAGCGCACACATAGTGGCTACCTCCAGTTAGCCGCCTGAGCTAAGCTGCTTTCTCCATCATGATAATAATCAAGATGATTATCATACAAAAAGTCATTAGCAAATAAACACTAAAAGTAATTCCACAATAATAATTTCTGCATAAATTACTTTCTTATATATTTCATTTTACTGAAATCAAAAATAGCAGTGACACGACTGAATTTCTTGTGACGTACGATATTTAAAATTCATAAAACATTTTAAAAATTTCATAAAAAATACAAAGCAATTAAAGGATGTTGTTTATAGTTTACAGTAATGAAAAAAAATTAATCTACAAAAATTATTCATTTGTTTGGACTGCCAGCAAACTTAAATGTGCTGGTACTGCCTACCACAACATTTTGAATTACTGTAAAGCTCTTTATTTTTGTGGCCCTTTATTTTCAGGATTTTACAATTTGAAATTTTTCGCGGCCTTTTATTTTCGCGATTTTACAATTTCCTGTCATTTTTTTAACATGATGCAGAAACCTACAATTATGTTGTTTGTTCTGTATATTAGCTAGAGCTCCTGATTTTGGTGGGTTTTTCCTGATTTGCTTTTGAAGACATCACTTAGAATTTTGCACGCCCTTAGTTTTCACGATTGTCAGCGTGCAAAAAAAAGGGCTTTGCAGTATGTAAAGTATTGTGTTCTATATTGTGGGAGTAAAATTATCTAAGTTTTGGTTTACTTGCAGGTGTTGTAAGTAGGTCAGGAGTCACTGGGATGTTAACCGATGCATCCTACACAATCACCATAGTGGCTACCGACGACGGTGCGTGTTGTGACCAAACTCCTCGGGTTAATAACATAGCTGAGGCCACTGTTGTCATAGTCGTCAACGATATCAATGACAACACACCAATCTTTCCTAATTGCAATTCGTATGATCCCGTCATCTTTGAGAATGCAACACTAAAATCAGAAGTCATCACTGTAAGTATAAAAGATAAGATTTGTTTAATGTAATGTGGTTGGATTTATATAGCACTTTATACTGAAGTCTCAAAGCGCTTGCGTTGTGGACTAGCTCGCACATTAATTTTCTTCTCCCCTAAGAGTCTCTTCGTGTCTGAGCTACCTGGTAAACCGGTACCAGCTATCTCTTGTCTGGCCACAACAGGGGCTGTATGAACCAGTAAACCGGGGTCACCCCCTACTCATTTCAAAAGATGAACTGGGTTCTCTATAGTGCACATGAGTCATTGTGGACACTGGGCCTATGCTATGGTTTGTAGTCCTTATTCAAGAAGACTTGTTTTACCACCAGATCCATAGGCGAAGGTGCTGTTCGAATCAGCGTTAATATTATGGCTGTAGTTTGCGGCACCCCTGCCTTAACCACGCGGCCATCCAACTTGTTTAGTTGAAGTTTTAAATCTGTTAAAAATTTATTCAAACATTTGAAACACATTAAATATAAAAGGAGTTACTTAAGTGACTATTTTCTCTGGATGCAAATTTTTATAATGTAAACATTCTATGCTCTCCATCTCGTGACTGGTTATAACAGAAATACTGAATATAAATAACGGAAAAGGTGATGATAATTGGTCTAAATTTAGATATTAACTAAATATATTCTTGTGAATTGTTGCTTATTATTAGTTTTTAGGCCAATTTAATCAGATACTGATGCGTGCAGTTTGCGAGATATTATTAACCATGTATTTGAAAATTAAAATAATTATTAAAATGTTTTACCAGTACCGAAAAAAAGCACTTTTTAAATAACTTTTTAAATAACTTTGATATTACTTAAGGTACTTGCCACTGATGCAGATAAAGGCTCTAATGGCGAAGTGACTTACAGACTAGAAGAGGAAAAGACGAAAAGCAATTACTTCTACATCGATCCCGAAACTGGAGTTCTCACAACAAATAAGTTTCTGGATAGAGAAGAGATTGATACTTTCTCTTTGTCCGTTCTTGCTGAGGATGGTGGCAAGAACAAACTTACTGGAATCTGCCAATTTACAGTTACTGTGTTAGATGTGAACGATGTCTACCCATTGCCTGTACGCTTCACCAGTAAGTTCAAATTCAAAAGCCAGATACACACTGCATCGGCCGAATGGTCAGCCAACTCATTTCCATGGAGACCAGAAAAAGATAATGAATTTGTGAGGCAATCGTTTGGTTGTAGCAGTGTGTAGTTGGTTTTATTCTCCCTCGTTCTTCTCACAAGGCGAGACTTATTTATACCTTGTTTAGCAAACCCGCAGTTTGCCAATAATGATGGATTTCGAATAAAAATAAAATTGTATTTTTTGACAATTAGCATACTCGGCGCCACGAAAAAATGGAATTTCAGAAAAAAAAGAAAAGGTTTTCTTAATTTTTATTATGCCCTTCGCTGCCTTATTTCCTCCAAAAGTAAGATATGTATATTTAAGTTTGTAAAACAAGGTATAAAAACAGTCTCGCCTATTAAATCTACAATCACTTAATTCATAAAATCATATAACCAATTAAATGGGATAATGTATACATTATCAAGTCTGCTGGGTATTACGGCTAATTAAAAAAAGTATTGTAATTGGGCGTAGTTCCACTTTCCCCTGAAACACTGTACTATATTTCATATATTTATCTTTACTTCATGTTATTCAAAGTTTTTAATAATATATTTTGATGACTTAGAATTTAGAATTATTAGAGTACAGGTATTACTGTATGTACTCGCGTATAAGGTGATTTCTGAGTTTTATTAGAGTACAGGTATTACTGTATGTACTCGCATATAAGGTGATTTCTGAGTTTGATTTTTGGTATGTTGTGTGTATAAAATGACACCCGCATTCAGATCAACACAAAAAAAAACTTTACTCCGGCGGCTAGGCCTATGTTGACTAACCTCAGTCAAACAGTGCCTGTAGAATTTGTTGTGATTATCGGGAGTAATAAAGATAGCACCCAATCGCAATGGGTAACAATTGCGATATCGATTACTTATTGACTACTATTGGTGAACTTTCACACACGATTTTACTTTGCGATTGGGTGTCGCAATTGCTACAACCGATCGCAGTGCGATGGTAGTGTGAATGGGGTATTACTATACTTACTAGCTTTTCTTGCTATCTCAGCATCATCTTCATTGAGACTGATGTAATTACAGCTATCAATGCTGGATCAGTGATACACTGGGTTTTCTATAATCTGTATTTGTTGTTGAGATTTATATACAGATTTATGTAATGTCTTTCATGAATGTCATAATATACTCTATTTAGCAACTCTTGCAAGAGACACAGCAGTGGGTGAAGTTGTTGCGAGAATGGAAGCTTTTGACCCAGACTTAGAAGATCAGGACGGATTGGTATTTTCACTAACCGACCCTGATAATCAGTACTTTGAGATGGAATCCGATGGTACACTGAAAGTTAAATCTAGTCTTGAAAGCTACCCAGATAACGTAAGTGTAACTGTACTTTTGTAGATCTGCTGCAAGTCTTTTGGTACAGCACACCAACTGGTGAAGCAAAGATACAGATCAGAGAAAGAGACTTGTTTGTACAGTAGTTAGTGAAATTTAATTGCCAGTTTTGAGACATAAACAAGCATCATAATGCAAATTTTGCCAAATATGTGTATTTCAGATTTAAACAACAAATGTTTTCTTAAAAATTCATTATGTTACATTTGTTGTAGGAGGTATCCCTCAGAGTTGATGTGAGAGATAAGAAAAATCAGAAAGCACAGACCTCTGTGACCATAGTTTTCACCGATGCAAGGGTCAATCCACCACAATTTATTCAAGACCCCCACCCTGATGAGTCGGTATCGGAAGATATTGGTGTTCTTACCGTAGTCTTCAGTGCTCGTGCAGTAGCAGCGGATGGGTCTCCTGTGATTTATGAATTGTTATCTGGTGAGACAAAAGAGACCAATAACCCAGTCAAGTTTAAAATCGACCTTGAAGGGAATGTGTTTGTTTCAGACAGCTTGGACTATGAGGACACAACAAGGTAGAGTCCCATTGACTTGCTAGTATAACTAGATTGTATAAAAATAAGTAATATTGAATATATATACTACAATTATATAACAAGCATTATTGTACAACTATATTGCATTTGCTTCTTCTCTAGGGTAATCAAATTGTGTACCAATTTTAAGTGATATTGAATGTATACAAGAATTGTATTATATAATAAGGATTATTGTACAAGTACATTGCATTGCTTCTTCTCTAGGTACGAGCTTCGAATCAAGGCTCAGGATGGTAATCAGGAGAGCTTCATAGTTGTAAATGTTAATGTAATTGATGTGAATGACAAACAACCAGAATTCATTCTATCGAGGGGATATGCTGCAAACATCGCTGAAGGAGACTACCAAGATGCAGAACGCACGGTTATTGAAGTTTTAGCAGTGGATGCAGATACAGAACAAAACTTCAGAACGGTATGTACAGGGGCGGATTTAGAGGGAGCTCCACCCCCCTCCCCATTTTGGAAAGTCAAAAAAAAAAATGTCCCCGGACCCCTAGGGTAGTGTAACCTCAATCGGCCCCACTTTCGGGGGGCCCCCTTTTAGACATTTCTGGATCCGCCCTGATGTAACCAAGACTATTTTTGTTTAGCATCAAGTAGGCCTGATGTTAGCACCTTAAGGATGAAAAGCAGCCTCAGTGTCTGTCACACACAGGCATAAGAAGTAAATAGGTAAATTTAAAAAAATGGAAGTGTGAATATATATTATTGTAGATTTAATGTTTTTAATGTTTCTATTATATCGTTGGATGAAAAAAATGTCCACAGCAATTAAGTTTGCTTTTTGTTTATTGTTCTACCAACTAGGGCATTATCTTGTCCTTTTTGTATTTATGTTCTTTGTATTTTAAAGTTTTGGCGAAATAAATGAAATGAAATTAAAATGATAAAGAGCTCTAATGGAAGATATTTGTGGCAAAGACAAGCCAAACCAGTCACTTGTCACAAAAATCAATTTTTGGTTATTAATACAGAGTTAAACAGTAAAATGAGAGCTATAATGAGAGCTATAATATAAAATAACAGCATAGCATGTGATGTATAGATATATAAAGGTTAGTTTAGTACAATAAAATAGATTTCCAAAATGTTCCAGCATGTTTTGGCCATTATCTCCAAAACAAGATTTACGAGTGACAGGTTTGGCTTGTGTTTTCCACATTTGTTAAATGATCTTCTTGAAAATTCATATCGGGAGTTGGTGAAAAACAAGGATGAAATTAGTTCCAAAGACAGGATTTTAGGCTTGGCTGGGCTATGCTATGCTAGGCTAGGCTAGGCTGTTCTGTGCTAAGCTAAGCTATGCCAAACATATTTAAGCGGATGGGGAAATGTTGGTCTTACTTTTAAAGTCAATAATTCAACAATTAATTTGATTTTTTTTGAGGGATAGGATTTCTTGTTATTTTGTAATGAGTATTGCTTTGTTGATTTTAGATTTCATACAGTCAGACACCCGGTCCAAATAGTGATGTAATCAATCATGACTTTAATGTGGATCCTGTAACAGGAACAATCACAACCAATGCTAATTTTGATCGAGAGGAAACCTCCAACTACATCATATACATCACCGCTGAGGATTCGGCCCCTTCTGCCATTCCAAGTGTTCCGGCAGGAGAAAGTAATACAGGTAAGACTTACTTGTTACTTGGTATTTATATAACTGCATTTTCCTTTATCTTATGAACCCCTTTGTTTTTCCTGGTCATAAGTGTTGCTGCCATATTGGCGTAGTAGCAGCCAACCCTACCAGGTACCAACCTATATTCCTGGCTGTGCCATTTTTTTTTTTTATCCAATTTGCTAAAGTCAACAAATTTTTTTTTTAGCCAATTGAGTTTGTCTTTAGCCAAAATTTTACGAAAATTGTTAAAAAATCATTTAAAATCATCTAAGCTGACTAGAGCCTCAGTCAGGATACCGGGAAAAATCCATAGTAAGTTCACAGGAAAAGAGGTTTATGGCCCAAAATTGTGATTTTGACCACATTAGGAATTGGCATCAGAGTAACATTATTTGATAGTCAGATTAATATTGTTTAAAAGTTTGCATGGCAAAGTAATAACATATATATGTAGAAGCTTGCGGTACACCAAGTAGGTAGTTCTGAAAAGAACTGTTGTAGTTGAGAAAGTCTCGATGTTTCGATAGAGTTGCTTAAATCGTCTTCAGGAGAATATTAATATTTTTAGCACACCAACGAGGTGCTTTAAAAGTTTGCTAAATATATAACACAAAAATTATGAAGGCCCAGGCCTATCCAGTATTCTCATTTTAGTTTGGAACGATACTAGGAGGTGGGTTGTGTTAAACAAATATGTGTCATGGAGCAAGTAAAATAGCCTACTTTTGGGAGTTACTGTCACTAGAAAAGCTATATTTTATGCATTTTCAGCATAATTATGCATCAGGACAAAAAGTCCCATCAAAGATGATTCAAAATTGGGTTGAGTTTGATCGTCTGCAAATGGGCCCAATCGTCTCGCGACCTGATCGTCTGTCACCCAAATTTTTCACCACAATGATCGAGGACTTAGATCTGGACCTAGCATTAAGAGATTTAACCACTACCATCACACTGCTCTACAGAACATACACCGTGTAACAAAGCGACCCACATGGAGCTCTCTTAAAATATTTAGTTTAGTTCTGCTTGATATGAAGTGGAGTTGAATAGCTTTAAGATGCTTTTCCTCTAATCCCAGGGTCCTAGGTTCAATTCATGTGACAGCAGGACTGTTTCTCACAACTAAAAATAACTCCACTCCCTAAGCCTCAAAAAGAGCCTTTACTGATAAAAGCATCACATTATTTCATTTACTTAAGACGGCCCCTGGATATCGGCCAATGTTCTAGGATACGCTGGAAGGCTCACCCTCTATAAATATGATTTATTTTTTAAAAAAATATCTAAATATTTCTAAAATTCAGAATGGAATACTTAAGATGTCTAAGGCTGGTGGCAATAAAATTTCTAAGTTTGTTAGTACTGTCCGCTCTGCAAGTGCTGCCTACTATGTCCAATATTCCATTTAGTTCAGTTTGAAGGGTTAAAGAACCCTGTCGACCTTGCCTTATTGGGTATGCCTGGAAATTTCCCTGGCTATGCCCTGTTAGTTTATATAATAAAATGAAATTCTTGACATTTTATTATTTAAAAATATGTACTGTATTGAACCTGTTGCTTTTGCTATATTTTATTTAAAAAAATTTAAAATTCATTCATTCATTCAATATTTTAATGTTTCTGATTTAACTTGTTCAGCTACGGTTGCTGTGAGGATTAACATCATTGATGAAAACGACAATAAACCTGTTTTCGACAAAGGTGTGTATGAAGCCACTGTGATGGAAGATGTTGCGATTGGTACCAGTATTGCTCAAATTACTGGCACGGATGCAGATGAAGGTAATGCCATTGAGTTTCCATTCAATATAAACCACCTTTGTCACTGATAAATTTAGTATATTTATATATTTTATGACAAGTCAAGCGCATTAGTTCCCCATTCTTGTAGTTTATACCTCAAACTCGATAAGCGTAACTCAGTGCCTGAACATAGCCATAGTGCATTTTGGCTACGTTCAGACCTAAGACATTGTTAATCCAAAGTGCTATAACTTTCAGTATTTACGCTTGGCAAATCCAGTTCATATGGGCGCTTTTGCTATTTAATCCTGGATTAATGATACGCCCACCGTTAGATGAGTCTGGCCTTTACTTTTACAATGATCATTTGCCAAAGCATCACCATTAGTCGTATCGTTGTCATCCGGAACTTTCCTTATCACAGTATTGATATTTATTTTTTTCAGAAATATTTTAGGAAAATTGCTTTCCTTGGAAAGACATACATTGTTAACACTATATTATCATTACATTATTATAAAACTTCAAGACAAAAAAGACATAAAAATGATTAAAACAGTTGCAACCTCTGTCTGCAGATTTTGCCTTTTTGTGTCTGTGTACTTCCTATTTTAACAAATCGTTTATGAAGTGTAAACAATGCATGCATTACCATTTTGTACAGGTGGAAGTGCTGGTCTAAATTACCTGATCGCAGGTGGCATCACACAACCAGATAGCATACCATACCAAAACGCTGTTTTTGAAGTGGAGGCGCACACAGGGCGGATTAAAGTGGCTTCCTCCTTGGATTATGAGAATATCCAGAGTTACAGACTTGAGTATGTTGCTACCGACGGAAAGCACGAGACTGTGGCCACAGTGATTATCACAGTTGAAAACGTAAACGACATTGAACCGGAGTTCGACCAGTCGCAATACATAGCAGAGATAGTGGAGGAGAATAGTGGTGAAAGTTTTGTACTAGAAGTGAGTAACGTAGAAGTGGAGTGTAGTGACTTTGTTTTAACTTCTACAGTAACAACTCTCAGTGGACCTTTCGTAGAACAAATGCTAGGAATATGCATGTTTAACAAACATATACATGTGTTTGTATATGTTTTAATACCTTCGTTTTGCGGGACCTTAGCTACTATATTTCCAGGGGCAGGGCTTAGCGGAAAAACTCCTCCATGTCACAAACGTTACTTCTAACAGTGATGTCATTATGAATGATCTTTTTCTGACTATCAAACAAAAATATTCTCAAAAATAATATAAAATGTTAAATCATTTAAGAATGAAAACGTTTAAACCATTAAAGCAACATAAATGTCATTAAAATAAAAAAATATTAAACTTTTTTAGCTGAGATGTATTCCAAGCAGAGAAATCAGATATGTACAGCCCTGTTCACACTATCAAATTTTGTTTGAGAAAAAAATGTTGTATGTCCATATATAGTCATGATGTGCCCATATATAGTCATGATGTGGCTATATATGGTCATGATGTGATGTCATCATGACTATATTTAGGCATGTCACATGTTTTTGTCAAATAAGATTTGATAGTCTGGACAGGGCTTAAAAGTCTGTCCAAACTCTCAAATTTTGTTTGACGAAAACATGTGACGTTTGACAAAAGCATGTGACATGCCTAAATATGGTCATGATGACATCACATCATACACATATTAGGAACATCATGAGGCAGGTGTGGGAAATGAAATCAATATTTTAAAAATGAAAATATAAATATAAAATCTAAATAGCAAAAATAATAGTAAATTTTATTGAATAAAATTCATTTTTATTTGTGATAGGTAACTGCAGTAGATCGGGACGAAGGTAGTGCAGGTGCTCCGAGTGCCATAAAGTACTCACTTGAAGGCGAAGATCCCGACTACTTCACCATCAGGGAAGACAGTGGTCAGATCTTTGTCCTTAAGTCACTGGATCATGAACAGAAGAATGAATGGAGGTTCTTAGCTCGTGCCACAGATGAAAATGGTTTTGGTAGAAGCGGATACACAGATGTGAAAATTGTAGTGAATGATATCAATGATAATGGACCGGTATTTAATGCAGCACGTTATGAAGGAACAATTAAGGAAGGGGATCCTCCAACAGGTATGTAAAGAAAATTGTTTTGAACATTTTCTTTTTTAAGTAAATGAGATCAGCTAACAAAATATTAATCATTGATAGATTTAATTAAAATTTATATATAGCTCCTAATATGGAATATAATAGGTGACTTGGCTGGACAAATTTCGCCCACAATTTAATTTTGTAATGTTAAAATTGTAATGATTGTAGAGTCCTGAATCATGACTGGAGACTCATGGTATACGTAGCCCATTGTTAAACCATAGATGTAAACACAAGTAATACGTCTATTGAGTTTTATCGTCAATAACATTCTTATTTGGTAATAAAAAGTTAGTGAACCAAAGAACAGTGCTCATAAAAATACATTTGATTATTCTACAAATAATTTAAGTCATACAGAAATCTGTGCCACCAGATTCAGTCTCCGTGTTTTGTTCAGATCACTATGTTCTGTCAATAGCCACCATACAGTATTAGCATTACACCAACTTTCATGCGTCTCTATTTTGTTCTGTTCACTGTTTGTCAATAATATTCTTTACTTCACAGGGATAATAAAAAAGTTGATGTACCAAAAGATGTGGAAAACATTTTGTATTTTTCAAAAAATATGTCTAGACTGTAAGCCTACTAGGCTTTTGTATTGCGATTAATTACATTGGAAAAGCAACCCACCAAAGTTGACTAACAACTGTTAAACTGATGACCCAGTGTAGTACAATTAAAAGTATAATTTGAAATTGCCAAAAAAATACTTTCAAATAGACCTATCTTAGTGGAAAGAGTTTCACCCAGATGTATAACAATTAACTATTTAATTATTGTAAGAATAAACGTTTTGTTTATAGATCGTTATGTGATGACCATGACGGCATCGGATGCAGACTCGCCTTTATATTCTGCAAATACGTACAGTATCGAGCAGATCCCTCCCTCAGAGCTTCCCCCGGGTGTTCTTGATGGCAGCGCCCTCTTTGAAATTGGCAGAACCAGTGGCAGAATTGAGGCAAAGTCAACTGCTAATCTTGACCGGGAGGCCAATGACATATACTATCTGCAGGTGAAAGCCGAGGACATGGATCCCACTGAGAGTAGATCGGGTATGTAGCATTATTGTTATTGTTGTTGATATGGTTACTGTTGCTGTTGTTTATTATATTGTTTGCATACATAATTTTTAATAATTTTTATTATATCATTGTTATATGATAATCTATTGAATTGATAATCAGGCATAACATTTTATTGATTTTAATCAAATTGATGTTTAAAAAAATATCATTTTTAGAAGCCAAATAGACAGAACAAATTCTTTGTAATAATAATGTTATACTCATAAGCATTTCTAATTCTGTAGCCATGATTTTATTTTTTAAGTTGCATACCATAACTAAATTATTTTATGTTTTAAGTATAAGTAGTGAAAAACAATTCTTTTGATGTAATTATGTAAAGCATAACAACAAATGAAATGAATAACTTTTTATGCAAACATATTTCTAATTTTTCAATTAATTCCCAAATAGCCACTGCAACAGCAACCATTAGAGTTGAGGACATCAACGATAACGCACCCATATTTGACCCAACTAATTACGCAACGACTATTCCGGAGACCCTGGCAAGAGGTAGCAGAGTGCTGGATATACTGGCTAGCGATCGAGACATTGGTGTTAATGCTGAACTTACCTTCACAATTGAATCTGGCAACAATGATGGTAAATTCATGATTAAACCAAATCCTGTCAACATGCAGAATGCAATATTGGTCCTAAACAAGGTAAAGGCCTAATCCAGACTTAAAATATTATTTAAATTTGAAGAAAACATGTGACGTGATGGTACCATATCATGACCATATATGTGAGGTCTCACTACAAAATGAGTCTCATCGTTAGAAAATCAAAAAATTAGTTAATATTACATTTTGGTAGATCACTTTATAAGCTTTAATTTGGTCTTTGAATGGCTTTACTTGGATAAATAGATCCAGAGGTTTTTAAAGTTTAGGTGTATGAGAACCAGGTTTTGAGAAAATCGGCCTCAAAAATAAACTAACCTTTACAAATAATAGGACTAGAATTACAAAATATGCGAAGAGAACACTGTTTTAGTAAGAAAATTCACTTAAAAAGTACATAATCATAAAATATAAGTATCAAGTTAATCAAAAACATTAAAATCAAAATTTTGTAAAAATATTGCCTTTGACCTATTTTGGTGAATATCTCAATATGATTTCACCAACGATGCGTCTCATTTCATGGTGAGACCTCACATATATTGGCACTTCATGACTATATATGGGCAGAAAACAGTTTCTTTTTGTTAAGTTCTATGATTATATACATTTACTTTACCATTCCTCAACAGTGTAATTTCATCCCTAGTTATATTTTAGGCTTTGGTTATTGTTACACCAGTCTCAAACCACTTCCTCAATGAGAATTGGTCTAAGACTGGTATAACAATAATAACTTTTTATTATTATAATTTACTTTTCAGGTCAATAAATGTTCTTTTGTTAAAAATGTATATTTAGCCAGTAGAACTCCTATTTGATTACACAGCATTTTTGTGATGATGAATGAGGGCACACTTCAACCCTAAAATTGAGAATAGGATAGTTTTTGTGTTACTGCCATTAAAATATACTATAATATTCAATTAAAATATACTATTCAAACGAGTGTCAACTTTTTAATACAGGATCTTGATTATGAGAGTGGAGACCAGACATTCAGTTTAAGAATACAAGCTACCGATAGCCTATCGTCGGCGACGGCGGAAGTTGTTATCACAGTGACCGACGAGAATGATGAGGCACCAAGGTTCACTAATTTACCCGAAGAATTTAGTTTCCCTGAAGGATTCATTCCACAAGATGCCATCATTACCGTTTCTGCAACGGATGATGAAAATGGAGAAAATGGCAGAATCGACAGGTAAACTTTGCCGCTTTGATTTAGTTAGCATTTACGGAGATTTTGACCAACGACCTCAAATCAACATCAAAGCTCCGACAGTAAACACCTTAGTGGCCCACTTATCATCCTTCGCGTTTGACTTCATGTTTAAGTGTTGCGGAGCAATCTATTGAAGTCAAAGTTGAATAATTCATTTACTGAATTATTTAAAGACAATTACAAAAATGTATATCATCATTTAAGAGTAGAATTTTTCAGTATACACTATTTTGAAAAGGCTCCACCAATGTCCCGCAAATTTTCACGGGAAATCCAGCCAGAACTACTCAGCTTGTTGTTTGTAAATTTCTGTAAAAAATGTTTTTTCCAGACATACCTTCTTTTGACTACTTTTACAACAAAAACACTGGGTTTTATGTGCCCCTATGTATTTATTTTGCTTTTAAAGACTAGCCTTGGCCTACACTCACTACAACAAGAAGATTTTGCACCAGTCACAGCACAGATAAACAGTAGTAACTACGGAGAACGAAATGCCTAGTCATCTGGATGTCCCCTGTGGTAGTACCCAGGTTATTGGGAATTTCCATTTCAAATTTAGCGAAAATGGTGTAAACTGAAACTCTTATCAACTTATTATCTCTAACAAAGAACAATAATTGGAAAGTGTCTGTACTAAATTTTTTTTTAAATGTTTACAAAATGATACTTAATTCTATATACTGCCATATCAAAATATATATTATAAATAATAAATATACCATCCATATTAATCTAATGCTTAATATTTCAACAGATATGAAATTGATCCTTCTACCAATGAGGGCGGTTTATTTGAAATTGATCCAGCAACGGGAGTGCTGAGGCTGATAAAAATGCTTGACCGAGAGACTGTGCCAGTACATAACCTAAGAATATTGGCGATCGATGCAGGTACTTAGCAACTAACTTGACATGTACACCTGAAAAAAAAAAATAGAACTATTTGATTGAAATCTAATATTAGCATTAAAGTGGAAAGTAGTGGCATATGCAAGGGGTGCACGCCCCCCCCAAAGTTTCCCCTCCCCCTCCAAAAAAAAAATCTATCATATTTTTTGTACATGAAATTGATGACACAATGGATGATCCCATAGTATATATAAATATAATTTTATGTTTTTTTTGTTAAAATGTTTTAATTATGCATATTACTTAGTAAACCAATTATATTATTGATGCATTTCAATTGAACTTTAAGGTACCCCACCCATGACCGGTGAAGGAGTCTTGACAATCATTGTTATTGACATAAATGATGAGTGTCCAAGTTTCCGTGAAGATGCTTACAATCCAGTTGTAATGGAGAATCAGGATAGTCCCATTGAAGTTGTCCAGGTAGTACCGGTAGATCCCGATATCATTGGAACCCAAAAACCATTTGTTTTTGAAGTTGCCAATGGTGATTATAAACCAGAGGGCGGACAATTTACTATAAACCAAGCATTTAAATTGACACAAGATGGTGGTAAGTGTTCACTTGTTTCGTTCCTTAAACATGGAAGATATATTCTTGTGGAAAATATTGGCCGCAATGTAAATTTAACTTTCATATATTTGAATATTTCATGCCAAATTTGATTAAATACATGCTTCCCTACATTAATGACAGGCCAGCCAGTTCATGTAGCAGTTTAAATGCTCAGTGCACTTTAACAATTCAAACAATCTATATATTGTATCAGCTGAACGAAAAATAACACATTAGATGTTTTATCATTGCCTGTAAGTTTAATTTTTTAAAGTATTACTTATTACATAACCTATAGGCCGAAATTCTTAAAAAATATAAAAATAAAACTCGTTACTGAATAACACTGAATAATCATGACAAACATTTATATTTATTTATGTCATTCATCACCCTAATACTGGTAAACTTAAGGGACTGTGCTCATCTCCAGTTTTGTTAAATTGCCTATCCTTAGTCAAGACATTAGCAATGCCTGTGGCGGCACTAGAGATTCCCTGACACAATGTTTAAGGTCCCTGACACTGGGTCCTAGGTCCCGACAAGAAGTACAATGCTCGGTGAAAATGTCTGCACCCAACTTCGCCCCACAATTATTGGAGAAAATTTTATTTTAATTGAAAAATGGCACTCTTGTTTTATTAATACTTTTTTTTAAAGCAGTAATGATTTTTTAAAGCAGTAGTTCCCTGACAAAGTTATCCTCTCTGATTATGGGGCTTTAGGATCACTTGAAGGGAATGCCATGCTATCCGGACTTTTCCGCTGACGATGCCATTAAGCACAAATTAATTTTTTTTCATTTTCTTCCAGACACTGCCATTGTGTCCACCCTAAAAGAGTTTGACCGAGAATTGCAGGAACTCTATCAAATGGAAATTCGGATTTCAGATGCTCACACACCTCCTAACTCGTGTATCAATATTTTAAATATCCGAATTGGAGATGAAAATGACAACCCCCATCAAGATGGCTCCAAGTCCATGTCTGTCTACACATACGAAGGTAAGATTTTTTTTATCCAAGATAAGGCAGGAGTTGTTCACTTCTTTAAGTCCTATCCAAACTATCAGATTTTACATGTGACATGCCTAAATATAGCCATGATGACATCACATCATGACTATATATAGGTACATCATGACTATTTATTTGGCAAAGACAAGCCAAACCATTCACTGGTCGCAAAAATCAATTTTTAGTTATTAATACAGGGTTAAAATGTAAAATAAAAGCTATAAAATGGTAAAAAATCATTTAAATGTGACATTTTGTTATGAAGTTAAATGAGTTCAAACATACAACTGTTGAAAAAACAATATCTGAGAAATCAGCTTTCAAAGTTTATGATTTTTGGCATTTCTCAGGTAAAAACCATCACCAAATCATTAAAATAACAGCATAGCATGACTTATAGATATATAAAGGTTAGTTTAGTCCAATAAAATAGATTTGAAAAATTTTGACATTCCATCATGTTTTGGCCATTCTCTCTGAAACAGGATTTGCGACGAGTGAATGGTTTAGCTTGTCCTCGCCACATATAGTTCCTACAACAGTTTTTGTCAAAAGAAAATTTGATTATCTTGACAGAGCTTCATTCTTGTGACGTTCATAAAAAAAGCATGTTTGCTGCCCTCTATAATTTAGTTTTCTAAAGCTTAATATTGTAGCTGTTGTCTCAGGACTGCCAACACTTTCTCCATATTACTGGCCGTCAGTACATCCATAGGCCTCACTTTTGTATTTGTTTCACAGTCTTGATGCTTTCTCCGTGGACTTAGTACACCACAAGTGTTTCTGAGGCCCTTGATACTCAGTGACCCTCTCTACATTTAGTCTCACACTCACCCTTATCTTTTTGAGCATCTTAATGCTGTCACAAAGTCCCAAAAATGTGTAAATGTGCCTGTGTCTTTTGCGTGTGTTCCAACCATGACCCTCAATGCTTTCTTAATACAACCATAGGTTTAATTATTACAGCTCTATCCAAGCTATCCAATTTTGTGGCAAATTGACCATACATGGGATTGATGATGTCATATCACATCCATATATAGGCATGATAATGTCAATTACCCATATTTAGGCATATCACAGGTGTTTGTCACATAGAATGTTGATAGTGCGGATACGGCTTTAGGTGTACCCCAGGCCCTGTATCAGGCTTTCGGTAGCCCTCGGTATACCTGTAAGCCTATGATTAGCTGCTGAATGTGTTGTGTATGCTGCGTTACTCAATATTATTTTTGATTGGCTTTCAGGAGGATCAGGGACAGGTATTGGTACAACACCTGTTGGCCCAGTTAATGCTCCAGACAAAGATAGTGATGATATAGACGAGAAGACATTCACGAAGATCGATGCAAGTGATGATGTATGGGACCACTTTGATGTAAGTAAACCAAATAGTAAATTAAATGTGGTGTGCCCATATTTCGATGTATTATGACTTCATATGTGGCAAAGACAAGCCAAACCAGTCACTCGTCGCAAAAATCCATTTTGTGTTATTAATACAGTGTTAGAGAGTAAAATAATAGCTATAAAATTGTAAAAAAAATCATTCAAATCGGACATTTCCTTATGAAGTTACAAGCGTTTAACCACAACAGCTGTTTAAAGAACAAAATATGAGAAATCAGCCTTTAAAGTTTGATTTCAGGCATTTCTCATGCAGAAACTGTCTTTAAATCCTTAAAAAGTGTTTTTTAACATTAAAAATGGGGAAAATAACAGCATAGGATGGTGTGTAGATATATAAAGGTTAGTTTAGTGCAATAAAATAGATTTTTTAAAATTTGACATTTTAGCACGTTTTGTCCATTTTCTCTGAAACACGATTTGCGACGAGTGACTGGTTTGGCTTGTCTTTGCCACATATCTTATTTTGTTTAAATTTTTGTCCAGGTAAACATAGGAATAAAACTTCTCCGTATGCTTTTCCAGGAAATTTCATTGTTCAAACATAATTATGGAAGATCCAACTGCTTTTATTTAATCTAATTTTATTTGAGGATAATTGATGTACATATACAAACTAAGCAATTCAAATATTCAGTTTTCATTGTTCAGGTGTATTAGTTCATTACAAACCTCTTTTGGTAATATATTTTACCATTGAATAGAATGTATTGCAAATGTCACTATGAATAGTATGCTAGAGGATACTACCTTAAAAACCTCTTTTATATTTGAGCTATATAAACATGTTTTATCACAGGTTGACCGAGAGAGTGGCAACATTTTGATCAAGGCTGGGACTCCATCTGGTACTTACACTATGAAGGTGCTAGTCTCTGATGGTAAATGGGAAGACAGCACCGCAACTGTAACCGTCAAAGTTACCGATCTACCTGAAGAGGCCGTATACAACTCGGGATCCCTGCGTTTTACGGGGACAACTGCTGGTGACTTCATCCAAGAACCAAACAGTAAATACAGTAAATTACGTAAAAGCTTGGCAGCCATAATCGGTGCAAAAGAGGATAATATCGACATTTTTAGCGTGATGGACGTGGTTGGTGAAGCAAATACTATTGACGTCAGGTACTCCGCTCATGGATCGCCATACTACAAAGCAGAGAGGATGAATAGTGCTGTTCGTAAGAGTAAATCTCAGGTAATTAAATTCAAATTTTATTGCTACATAAGCCATCAAGCCAAGACTGTTATCTGCTCATAACAATACAGTACAAAATACAAAGGCCAATATAACATAAGCCTAATAGAAAGAACTATGTATTTTTCAATCTTTTTTCGCTCTCTAATTAAAGATCCCTTCAATTATTATTATTGACTGTGGTCCTATATTTACAAATGTCTTTATCTTTATTATTCTAATTAGAGACCAATGCTGCTGAAGACAAAGGGATTCCCAATAGTGGTCTTTATTTGGAGGGAGCCCTGTAATTAAGAATACAGTGGGCTGTGTTACAATTTCATTGCTTATATTTAAATCAAATAAGTATTGTGGCTGTTTCTCATCTTTAATGATGGTAACATCAGGCTAGATGCAAGTTATGACTGACAAATAGTGATATGATGTGGTTTATTTTCAGGTTGAATCCGAAACAGGTCTTGTCATCACAATGGTCAAGATCGATGCCTGCTTCATGGATGAGGGCGTTTGCGAAGGTTCCTGCTACAACAACTACACTGTGACCAAAGAACCATACATCATTGATTTGCAATCACAGTCCTTCACTGGAATAACCACCTACACTACCGCTGCTTGCGGATGCGCTGGAAGAGAAATCTTTCCGGATGGGTGTTCATTTGATGCGTGTATGAACGGAGGGACGTGTACCTCTACCCCTGAAGGATTCAGGTAAGTTATACAAAAATATACATAAACTAAATCCCTGTACAAATTTTATTTGACAAAAAACTGCTGTATGCCCATATATAGTCATGATGTGCCTATATATGGTCATGATGTGATGTCATCATGGCCATATTTAGGCATGTCGCATTTTTTTGTCAAATAAATTTGATAGTCTGGACAGGCCTTTATACAACTAACTTACCTGTACCTGTAGGTGTCATCTTGTCTATGCCCTGGGGTGGATGCATGGGGGTGCAGATGGTGCTATCTCACCCCCTCTAAATTATATTAAGAAAAATAGTTGTTTTATTGTTAACATTTTATTTTTATCATTTTGAACAAAGTACCGTAAAGATTTTTAAAGTAGTGAAATTTCTGGGCAGCTTGAGGTTCATATTCTCAAAATTACTCTCTACTGCCAAATCCTGCATCGCCCCAGATGCCACCCCATTTTTTGATGTTTCCTATCCAGACAAACTCTTGGTAGTAAATGGCCATCTTAAATAATTCAGGTGATAACAAATGTTTGCATTTTCGTTAGTTGTGAATGTCCATCTGGTTATGAAGGCGGACGCTGCGAAGAGATTAAGAGAAGTTTTAGTGGCAGTGGGAGCTACGCATGGGTTGAAACACTTGAGCAGTGTGAGGAGACGGTAACTTCGATTGAGTTCATCACCAATAAAGATGGAACCTTGTTTTACAACGGTCCAATGACAGGGGAATCCGGACAGCCTTCGGATTTCATACTGCTGGAACTTGTCAATAAACGTCCCCAGCTGCAACTGAACCTGGGAAGTGTCACCAGCACTTTTGAGTTCGGAGCTAGTGATCTTGGAGAGTTGACTGACAACGAGTGGCATCACCTGGAAATCCGAAGAAATGGAAAGGTATTTTTGAATTTTGAACTCCTATTTTTTATACCAATCCCATCATACAGCAAGTTGCTGTTTTATTAACTGTGGTTTGTCCATATACGATACTGGATCATAGGACTGTAAAGGCAACACCTTAAATTGCCAAGTTCCACAAAGTCCTTACCTATTGGCTTAAAATACCTTCATTGCGTCAATGGACTTAGTTGATATTGGTTCCCTTAGAATAGCTACACTGTCGTTACAGTGTTTTCAGCGTAATTGTTGTACTGCTTAACAGTCCCTGATGCATTCAGGAAGGCTCCTCGATTCTCGACCGAACAATCAGCATCACTGAAAGCTGTCAGCTATAACGTGAGCGATTGTATGGAAACAAAGCTTTATTCTTCTAGAAAGCGCAATTGCCATTCCATAAAATAATTATTTTGTCAATGTGTTCTTTAAATTAAATATAATACATGAATGTATAGTAATACCAAAGTAGTCTTTAAATTATTATAAAATTCTATATAATATAGAAATAATTGATGTTATTATCAAGGAATTTATTGTACACATCATAACTATTTGATATTTTTGTTTAAGTTATGTATTATATTTGATGGTATTGTACAACTTTTATTTGTCTTTCAGGAGGTAGAGATGGTTGTTGATCACTGTCTGTCTGCAAAGTCTACAATCTCAGAAGCTGGTAGCTCAAGCATTATTGATGATTCCAGCTGTCGCATCGCTGGCACAGTGGCAGGAACATCCAGGTATGTCAGTCATAATCAATCAATCAGGCAATCAATCAATAGCATGTCAATCAAACTTAGCTTGAATGTAGTGCTAATTTTGATATTATGCCAGGCTTATATAGTGCATTATACCAAGGCCTCTATATGGTTCACATTAGAAGTATTTGATTGCACGACGACATTAAGGTCTAGAACATAAAGAATATTGTTATGTTTTTCTTGGCAGATTGTTGAATGTGAACACACCTCTACAACTAGGAGGTCGTGCCACATCGGGATGGGACTACGGTTCAATATCATTCGCCAACAATGGGTTCGACGGCTGTATACGTAACCTGATTCAAGACGGTAAACTGTACGACTTGAGCGATAACAATGTCGGCGTATCATTTAAAAATTCTCAAGAAGGATGTCCACGAACCGATCAGAACTGTATTGACAATTCTGATGGATCTAACAAGTGTGTCAACGGTGTCTGTGATGCGAACATTGATACTGCTGTCTGCATTTGTTATCCGGGATTCACAGGAGTTCGGTGTAATGAAGGTACTTTATCGTCAGCCTAATTATCACCAGATTTAGATTGATAACTTCAATATTTCAGCTATGTATTTTGTATTTTTTAGTTCCAATTTTCTTGTCAATTATCAGGTGCATATGTAATGCCATTCATATATTCTTTGCATAAAACCCTCAAATTGGCTGGTTAAATTTAAGGATGGTAAAAAATATATAGATTAGCAAAAACTCTGTTTTTTTTATGTTCTTGATAGTTATTCCATTAAAGATACTTTCTTGGTTAATACTAATAGGTAAAATAATCGAAAAATACTAATATTAAAATAATAATAAATAAGCATTTTTTTAAAGTGCTCTATACAATTGTGTCTCAGAGTGCTAGCTAACTTTGCATAGCTCAATTCTCTTAAAATAAATGGCATTACTAATACTACTATTAGTTTTGTATACCGCTCCTTTCTACTAAACAAGTATTTCGTAGTTTTATTACCCTTCCTATTTATAATAGGCTTGTATTCATTATAATTCATGTGGTATATTTTCCCACATAACCAGAAACCCCAGCACATGATTTTGAAGTGAACAGTTTTGTTGACTACACTGTAAAAGCTGCAGCAGGTCTTGACACCATCGGGTATGAGGAACATTACCACTCAATGGTACGAACGTGGGAGGAAAGCGGACTTGTGTGGTACATCGCTAACTTGGATACAGGGGAACACACCACTATTGAAGTAAGGAACTTTCATGGTTGTACAAAACCCTGTCCAGACTATTACATTTTATTTGACAAAAACATGTGACATGCCTAAATATGGTCATGATGACATCACATCATGACCATATATAGGCACATCATGACTAAATATGGGTATACAACAGTTGTTTGTCGAAGAAAATTTGATTATCTGGAAAGAGCTTTATAAAAGTGTGATTATTGATCAAGAGTTTTTGCTATATTTCAATCCTTTTTCTTGTTTTGAGTGTTTTTTTATAATATTTATTATAGTTTGAATACTAAAAAAAATCAAGTTTGTTTCAATTGATTGTAATAATTGAATATTTGATTTTAGATTATTGATGGGACAATGAGGCTTCGCTATAACCATGGAGAAGGTGAATTTAAAATGAGCCTTCCCAACTACAGAATCAATAATGGAGCATGGCACAGTGTTGAGTATGATCGCTATGGCAACTATGTTACATTGAAAGTTGACAGAGGTGGTGGAACTAGACAGGTGGAAGGATCTCCTGGAACGTTCCAGCAGTTTATAGCGAGTCCAGAATCTCTAAGAGTTGGAGATTCACTCGGGAATGAAGTTATACCATTGGACTTTATAGGCAAGTTATGGCAGCCATTGTGTACTGTTATTAATATTTTACTTTTTATTTACACCATATTTGCGAAACATCACTACAAAATAAATCTCATGGTTTAAAAGTCAAAAATTGAATTTATATTATGTTTGGGTCGATCACATTATAAGCTTTAATTTGATCTTTGAATGGCTTCACTAGGATATATAGATCCACTAGGATATATAGATCCAGAGATGTGAGCATTTAAATGTGGGTGTATGAGAACCATGTTTTGTGAAAATCAGCCCCAAAGATAAACTAACCTGTACAAAAAATAATAGGACTAGAACTACAGAATATGCGCAGAGAACACTGAAGATTTACTTAAAAAGTATACATTATAAAATATAAGTATCAAGTTATTCAGAAACATTAAAATTAACAATTTGTAAAAATTTTGACTTTGACCTATTTTGGTGAATATCTACATATGATTTTATCAACGATGTCTCTCATTTTGTGGTGAGACCTCACATTTAGCATTAGTACTCCATTCACAAACTGATCATTTGCAACCCTCCATTAGTGATCTATCATCAATTTATGAGGCTTGGATATTGTTGATAAAGTCCGACATTGTATTTATGGAACAACATATGAATCTATGGAACAAACACATATTCTAAGTCTTGTTCTGATTGGTCGGTTGTTTAATGGACACTCTTGAAGGGTCATTGTTGTGTTTTTTGTTGTGAGAAGTAGGGATGTAGCTTGGGGGTTAAGTTGCTTGCCTACCCATCTCAGAGCCTTGGGTTATTCTACGACACCATGAGTTTTTCTTGCAGCTAAAACAATGAATAAAATCCACACAATGATTGATTGAGTAAGTGAATAAACCCAGGACATTTGAATCAGAAAGTGGGCACCCTAACGGCTAGCCACAATGTTTCAAATTGGGTGTCTTTGTATTTATTAATGCCAGCACCTGTGTAGGTATATTCTTCAGAATGTGAAAGGCGCCATATAAATTTGGATTCTACATATTAATACAGTAATATTGTTCTCCTCATTCTTTTCTTAATTATTACATAATGATAACATTTTTTACAATTTTTATTTACAGGTTGTATGAATGATTTAAGGATCAATAATAACTATCTGGGATTCTCATCTAGCAAGTTTGCTGAAGTCACAGACATAGAAAATGTGAAGGAAGGTTGTGTGAGCAATGCCTGTGTTGATATTTACTGCCCCGTAACCTTTATCTGCAATGACATTTGGAGGCGACATGAATGCATGTAAGCACGTTATATGATTAAATGATGCTTGCCATCCCATAATAAAATCAGTGACCTAAAAATGAAAATTTATTTTAATATATTCTTATTTTCCATATTATAACTTAATAAGCTTTAAAATGAGGGGTCATTTGTGGCAAAGACAAGTCAAACGAGTCACTCGTCGCAAAAATCTATTTTAAGTTATTAATACAGTGTTAGGGAGTAAAATAATAGCTATAAAATGGTAAAAAAATCATTCAAATCGAACATTTCCTTATGAAGTCACAAGCGTTTAACCACACAGCAGGCATTTCTCATGCAGAAACTATCGTTAAATCCTTAAAAAGTGTTGTTTTAACATTGAAAATGGGGAAAATAACAGCATAGAATGATGTGTAGATATATAAAGGTTAGTTTAGTGTAATAAAATAGATTTTTAAAAATTTGACATTCCAGCATGTTTTAGCCATTTTTTCTGAAACACGATTTGCGACGAGTGACTGGTTTGGCTAGTCTTTGCCACATTTACTAGAATCGACTTACTATTGCCAATTATGAGTAAAAATATTATGGCATCTTTGTACTAAAGTATATTATTCTTATAAAACAATTAAAGACAGTATGCTGGTTTTGGAATGCCAAGCCTCAAATGAGTAGTATGTAATCCATTGTTATAAAGAATATTAGCTTAGCAGGAATGGTCAAATTCTATAAATGTAATAAAATCGTTAAATTCTAATGTAATCAAATGCGATTAGTTGGAGGTGTTAGGGGGGTCCTTCTGGTGGTGATTTGGCAGTACACCAGAGACAATCCCCTACTCTTCTGAAAAGTGTACGGCATTCTTTATCGTGCACATGGGCCATTTTCCACACAGGACCAACGGTTTAAACGTTTCATCTAAAAAAAATTTGCACTTATGAAACTTGTATTTCAGCCCTCCAGCTGAAACACAAGGAGAGCAGTGATGGGAATTTAACCGGGGACCAAGATCTCCATGGTTCAGCACACACACAGTGGCTACCACCAGTTTACCCGAATAAGCTCGCTGCTCTCGATAATCTTATCCTATGTTTTAACATTAATGTTTTTCTTTGTGCAGATGTCCGGTGGGCACTCTATTAGAAGGTACAACTTGCGTAGCCGTGAATGCCTGTTTTGGTGTAATCTGTGATGGTGGCTACAGATGTGAAGTGAACGAAGCTGGTAAAGGCGTTTGCGTTCCAAATAAAGACACATTAGTTAAAGAGGCCACATTAAGTACCGGAGCAATCATAGCCCTGCTAATATGTATACTGATCATACTGAGTAAGTAGTTTTTAGTTATTTGGCGTGATTGTTAGGATCTTTAAGTTTAAATCCCACATTCCTGGTGCGGATTACTTTACACACAGTTTACGGATGGTCTAAATACCCTCGTCAAATATGATAGAAATAATGCATGAAAAAAATAATGGTCTGTAGTCATAGACCATTGCTATACTGCAGTCTAATGTGTTAGCTATCTGTAATTTTTAACCCACTTGGGATAGGCTATAAATTAGTCTATTAGTAAATGGATCTTCATTTGCTTGACTTTCTTCTAAAAGCACCTTATATATATATATGACTATATTATTCAAAACTTTGCTTTATAAAAATGGCTATAAAAGCTTTATTTTCAGTAGTTTCGCAAATGACCTTTAATGCTTAAATTTATTTCTTTTAATAATAATAATAATAATAATAATAATATTTATAAAGCGCACAAATGCACTGCAGTAGTGCTCAAGGTGTTATATGTACTGATATATTTCATATTTTTTCACTACAAAAACTCTTTAAAATTGTAATCTTCAAAAATGATATAAAATGTTCAGCTGCCAAGAAAGAACAGGCTTGAACCAATAAATTGTCATAGAACTTCCTGTAAAGCATGAAATATCAAACATTTTCAGTCAAGATATATTCCAATTATAGCCGTGCATGCTTGTTCAGGCAGCTTCTTTACGCTAGGAGTTGAGTCTCCACCGTTTGTTAATTGGTGGCGCTATTGCAAAGGATAAAACTAGCGTGGTAAACTAATTCATGATTGTTATGATGGGAATAATTGCGCTCGTGTTTACTATTAGTGTATTTATTTGGAAATCATTTAAAATGAATATATCACAGTGAGTACATATAATTTTGGCTTCTGTACAGTATCTTGTTACAGAAAACAGTAAAATCTAAGTCCTATTTTATGACATAAATTTGCTTCCATGGCAAGATTTAGGACTACCTAGCCCTGTGTACTATGAAGCACTAGGTCTAGGTACTATGTAGTAGTAGGTCTAGCTAGGCCTACCGTCAGCACTGAGATGCTACAAAAATTTTAACTGTTTGGACAGAGGGGTACTCTAATAGTAAATTATTCTCCACACTGTTTTTCCCCCAGTTTTGGTATTGATGTTCATTCTGTATCAACGTAAAATGCGTCAGAGGAAAGAACCGTTGTTTGTTGACCCTGGCGACGATCTGATCGAAAATCTAGTCCACTATGACGAAGAGGGAGGTGGAGAAGAGGACCGTGATGGTTACGACATTAACACCCTTAGCAAACCCATTGGAGTTATTGACCATACAATAGAAAAGAAAAGGCGGCTACCAGAATCTGCTGTGCCAGCATTTACTGGCCCAGGTATGTAGCACGTCAAATGTCAGTTAATTCATTTGGAAACTAGAAAGTGACTTTTTCATGTGCATTAAATTTTTTTTTTAACTTGGATTCATCCTATGCCGGTTGAAAATGTAAACGGTCTTGAGGTTTCAGTTATTGGCTAAAATACAGTGGAAAACGTACCCACCAGTGTAAAGGTCTGTCTTCACTGTCAATTTTTATGTGACAAATACAAGTGATCTGACACAAATTTGTCACCAAACTTAATAGTGCGGACAGACCTTTAAGCCCTGTCCAGACTATCAAATTATATTTAACAGAAAACATGTGACATGCCTAAATATGGTCATGATGACATCACATCATGACCATATATAGGCTCATTATGACTATATATAGGCACATCATGACCATATATAGGCACATCATGACCATATATAGGCACATCATGACTATATATGGGCATACGACAGTTTTTTGTCAAAGAAAATTTGATAGTGTGGACAGAGCCTTAGAATATATAGTTTTGATTATTGCATATTATCTAGATAGCAAATTATAGATCATTATTATTGTGATTACTATTTAAATAAATTTGTTAAAAAAAAATGCATTATGTTGACAAAACATATAAAAGATGATTATTTTATATAGCATATCTAAAAATGTAATAATAACATAGTAAACTAGCACAACATATTATCTATTTGTTACAGTGAGCGACTTGAGTACAATATGTATTTTCTGTTTTTCAAATATATTCAGGGTACATATAATAAGAACTACAATTTTATTTTTTAATTTCCCTCATAGATAATGTTGGTGATTTCATCAATGGCCGTTTGTCCAATGCTGATGATGATCCAAATGCTCCACCATACGACACTCTCCACACGTTCGATTACGAGGGTGATGGTTCCACGGCAGGATCGCTTAGTTCGCTGCATAGTGGAAGCTCGGACGACTCACAGAATTACGACTACCTGAACGACTGGGGTCCACGCTTCAAGAAATTAGCTGATATGTACGGTGGTGCAGAGGGAGGTGAATACTGAGAGATTCTGTGTTTAATTTAAGGTTCAAAAACAAAATAAATCTAATATACATTTCAATAATAATGTAGATAGTGCTTAATGATTGCAAAAGCTGTTTACCATTCCAGTGTAGTTTGAATATACTGAACTGTAGCTCAACAGGCAAGTACAAAATCAATTGATTTATGATTATTGATTATTGAAAATTCATGAAAGAAAATTGGTTGAAATATTACAACAGATATTGGGTTTACAGTTGATAACTACTTGCTTTTACTATCATCACTTTTTGAGATTTTGTGAAATTTGTGAGTGGTCTCCCAATTCTTGTCTATTTTTTGTAGATATAATATCTCCCTTGATGATGTTGGAATTAGGTGCTGTTATTTATAATAGATACAAAAAACACTGTAGACAGGGTTGTAAAGGTTATTGATGATCACTGGTTTAAGTGCACATAGAAGAAAATCTTGATAAAATATTACCATTCCTTGCCAGTTAGTTGCTAGGACGATTTCCAATAATGTTATAATTCATATACTTGTTAATGTTTGTATGTTGTAGTTACCATCAATTGGAGATATTGAATATTTCTAATATTTCAATTAATATATTTAAAGTTCTAAATTCAGCATCTAGTTAAGTAGCACATGGACACGGAATAAAGAATAACAAGTACTGTTTTTCGAGGCTGATATGTCTGTAGTGCATTCAATTTTGTTTACCTTTGAATGTTGTTAAAGTAAATATTTCTAATATCACTTTCTGATTAATAGGTTTCTTTAAATGAACTAATTTATTTTTAGATGTAGCTTAATATTTATGCAAAAATCCAAAACATTTAAAGTTTGAAGTGGCGAGTTTCTATTTGGCATTATTTTTTTGGCACAAACAGTCAGTAAAAACTGTAGTGTTAGTCGGTTACTTCAGTAAATTGAGTTGGTGCACAATATCTTGGAGCAAGGTTTAAACCTCTACCACTTGCTTTTATTTTAATGGTTATTTTTATTATGAATAATCAAAGTATGCAATATGTGGTGATTGTATATTGTGAAAGTTATGGTGTTTTCTTTCCAAAGTGTACCATACCTTCCTTGTTTTGGAAGTTTTTTTGTAAATTAATTTTTATAGTTTCAAGTTATTTATACAAAAAAAAGAACAACACTTAAAGATGTAGATGTAGGAATAAGCTGTACAAATTGAGAGCTTGCGTGTTGTGTGTGGTTAACATCAAATGTTAAGTCAATATTTGCTTTTTTTTCCATTTCTTTTCTCATTTTTCGTTATCATTTCATGTAAGTGTCATTAGCAGATTTCCACTGCCAAAATTGTTACTAAGCTAATATGGTAGTATTCAATTAAGAATTTACTTTTTTCTTTTTATCTTTTACTTTTTGCATTGTCTTTTCACATTTATACAATAATGGATATTAATACTAGAACTCGCTTACTCGCTGTCGTATCGTAGTGCACTAAAATAGTAGTACCATACATATTGTTAATTGTACAGTTGCTAATAAAATGCATAGCTGCAAAACATTTTCTATTTTGGTTAAATTTTTGTTCATAGTTTATGGTTAGAATTTTGTGAGATGATGAAAATAATGATATAGAGGCTATGTTCCCACACGGCTGCTAACGGTTAGCAGGATCCGGATCCTGTTAACCGTTAGCTGCCCTGCGTCCATAAGAGAAAATCCCGATCCAGATACCAAAAATATGATGATCGAATCAATGGCCAATAAGAAACTGGAAATTGTAAACGTGTACGTGCGATTGGTTGATGATAAAATGCGCTAACGGTTAGCAGGATCCGGATCCTGTTAACCGTTAGCTGCCCTGCGTCCATAAGAGAAAATCCCGATCCAGATACCAAAAATATGATGATCGAATCAATGGCCAATAAGAAACTGGAAATTGTAAACGTGTATGTGCGATTGGTTGATGATAAAATGCGCTCAACTTGCTAACCCATAGCGCTTGCTAACTGTTAGTGGTATCCGGATACTGCTAACGGTTAGCACTAACCAATCGGGCCAAACGGTTATCTCCCGATCCGGATACTAGGGCTCTCGTGAGAACCAGGCATTAAATAAGGTCTGTAGCCATATCGACCTGTCAAATTGGAGCAAGTGGGACGTCAAGATGTACACATCGAGTCCACAGCAATTTGTTAAATTGAAAATATATACTGTATAGCCTCTGATAAATGTAATCAATCAGTTCCGACTCCTTTGGCGATGCTGATTGGTCAGTTGAATCAAGGAGCGTTTCTGATTGCGTCAGGGACAGCTATGCAGTGCAAGAATTGCAGTGGAAACACTGTAGTGACTGTGTAGTGATTCTATGGAAACCAGCCTTAATATAACCAATACAGTAATGTAATCGAAAGTATTATTTCTGCTGTTGCTACTGCTACCGTACTATATCATCATTCAAAATTAAAAGCTGTACAGCTCGATACACAAGCTTGGTGGCCATAAAATTTAAATAAAATCTGAAAAAAAAAAATAGGTAGAGCTTGTAAAGTTTAAAGAATGCCACTTTTTGATTGGATTTTTCCTCAGTTTTGTTTTATTTATAACCAGAGACAGTACATCTTCAAATTTGGCACATCATTGCATTAATACAGTAGTAAATTAAAGTACATTGATTTATCTTCATAAACCAAGGCACAAAGCTCGTACAATACAGTTTACTTTGTATTTTACTCTCCCTTTCTATTTTCTTATTCTTTCGAAACTACTACTACTAACTCCTGTTTTGACGGTGAGGTCAATCAGGCTGACTTCGTTCTGATCCTTCTTGGTTCATTGATTTCTAACACTGCTGGCTGTTGCATAACATTCTGTCATTAAGCATTTACTTGACAACGATTTCCATTAAACGGTTAAAATGCTATAGCTTTTGCTTTCCCTTCACTGGTTCAATCGACCACATTTTTGTTAAAGATTCGTTGTTACAGTATCTAAAAAACAAAGGAAACATTTTATTATTAAGTCAATTTTGAAAAAAATGTTATATCATGTGGTATACTGAAAGTGTATTATACTAGATTCAATTCAAATCTACTTTTATTTAAAATCAATGACATGCGGGATCAACTGTGTTGCACCAAATTTTTACAATAAGGATCTTGAAGAACATCACCAATCAAGATCCATATGATAGACTGGCCTTTACTATACATACAAATTAACAATTTGACACTAAAAATGTTTGTAAACGTAGGACTTCGTTTACAAAAACAACAAAAAAAAGTAAAAACAGCTGCTTTAAATGCATCTACAAATTATAATATGAGAAATTCAACAGTATCCCTCAATTATTTATAATTGGCTTGCGCTAATTCAGGTATTCTTCCTTGGACTGCTGGCACGAGTCCTGATATAATAATATAGGCCTACAGTATAGGACCTACGCAACTAAAAGACAGCCAAAGAATATTGTAGCTTATAATAAAAAGATTAATTCAATACGCTAAATTATATTACCATCCTTATTTTTTTAGTGTAGTTCAGTGCAGGTAAATGTTTCTTGCTCTATGGACTAGTGGCATGGAGTATATGCAAATCTCAAAATCCACTGGTAGTCCTAGATCCTGGGATGTTAGTGAAAATCTGCAGCTGGTGTAGATATAACTTGCTGTCCTTGGCATGACATTCTGGAATTGAAAGATCAAACCGTTTTTTAAGGATTTTTATTTTCAATAGCATGCAAGATAGCATGTAGACCACCTCAGCCCTTCCACGGTTGGGGTTGAGGTAAGGATGATTGTGGTACCCCTAGACGGTACCGCCACTGATTAATGAATTAATGTATCATCTCTCTAGTTCTGCTAATTATCACTACCACGTTCACGTGGTATAAGATACAGAAGAAGGCTGATGTGAACCCCAAGGGTCCCAACGTAACTACTGTGAGAAACTCCGTTTACGGAACTGGTGAAAGCATGGAGATATCTAGTCGAAACCATCAGCTAGCTATGCAAGGTGGTAGTGCTAATACAGGTAAATCGAGCATGGTGTGCTCCAATGTTACTGTATCTCTAATTTGAACAAACAGTATAATGCGTTGGTAGCGTATTCATTTTAGCGGGGCAGTTAAACACAGTTTATATAGTTTCGGAAATATTTCAATTATGGAGATTTTAGACCGACTAGAAAATAGATTACTGAAAATAGATTACTGAGTGTATTTTAAGCTCAGTTGGATGAAAAAGTGAATTTACTGTATTCGAATAGGGGGATTGGTTAATGTTTAAATTTGGGGAAGGGTTTTGCTCTATTGATCAATATAACTGTCTAACACAGGATTACAAACAGCAGTTTATGTGACTTACGTTTAGTTGGCTTGCAACTTATGAACTATTATATTTGTTGAATATGATTTGTATTCTTTATCCATTTATTACAGTGGCTGACCTGCCTACTGATTATATTGAAATTAATGTCAACCGCGACTCCAACGACCACTCAGATGACCATCTTTACCAGCATGTAATCTACAGCAGTACCCTTAACTCTCGGCCCACTTAATTCACTTGCAGCTGGTCACCAAAACTCTCGTTTAATTTTTTGCCAGTAATTAATGTTGCTAGAGAAGTTCTATTTAGAGTGTCTAGGATGTCACTATCTCATTCATTCAAACCATAAAATATTTCCAAGCATAGAGAAATAGCTAAAATATTATGAGAAATAATATCAGCATCAATTATACTAATACAGTAGAAATTTTATTCACTTTTTTTCGGCTGTGAATTTCATATTTATGCACAAATTTAAAACATGCTATAACTATAGTCCAGTATATGTATATTATTATCAACATATTTCTACCAAAGAAATTTTAAAGTTTTAATATATAATTCTATACAAAGACATTTTAAAGTTTTAATATATAATTCTATCTTACTGCTACGCAGGGGCGGCGCCAGGAAGATAATACAATTTTGTGCTAATAATATGGGGTTCTTTATTTTAAAAGGATGTCGGGGGTACTAGTCCCCCTGTCGGGAGTACTAACCCCCTGTCGGAGGTTCCAGCCCCCTGTCGAGGAACAGCTGGCGCAGCATTGCAACCCATATGATCGCAATAGTATACAAGACCTCGCACGGTTTCTCGCACTCGCAGTTTTAATCCCTAACTTTTGACAGCTTAGAAAGGCATGTTTGAATTGTACCTCCGGCGCTCGAGATTTCATTTTTCCCCCGACGACCTTGCTGGAAATTCCTCGACCGGGGAGGAGGATCAAGGGTGGGGGGTGGGAGGAGAAGTTCCCGACGGGAGGTCTTTTTCCCTGGACCCCGCTAGCGCTGCCCCTACTGCAACGGCTCACTAATCTGGCATATGCGGGATCGCTATTCAGTGGTTCAGGTAATTTGTCCAGCAGTTACCAGTTCGCTTCACTCCAGCAATGCAAATCTACCCCAAAATTTAACTGCAATGCTGTGGCGTTCCCAAAGGTTCAATTCTTTGGCTGCTCTTTTCTCTTTACAGCGCGCCTCTAGGCAAGCTTATAGATCACAGCATATGCCTACTTTTCCATCAATATAGTGACTCGCATGTTTAACTTTCTTTCGACAAGAACAATTATCCATGGCATCTACAGTCCAATCATTAGAAGAATGTGCGGTGAATACCATGATGCAAAATTTACATTGGAGATTTTTTAGTTTTTCTATTGTCTTTATTTATATTTATATAATAATGGACATGAATACTCGGACCTCGCTTACTTGCTGTCGTCGCATCATAGTACATTAATTTGTAGTATGATGGTACGGTGACAGTACAGTTGCTAATAAAAATGCAAAATCGAATAATGATTTTTAAGTGTTGTGTTCAAATTATTATGAGATTATGAAATGTCAAAATTGTGTATAAATTTAAAAATAATATGACAAAGTACAAGAAGATTTATTCAGCAGAGGAATTTTATGTTTTCTCCTTAGCTGCATACTCCACTCACGTGTTGTCGCAAAAGCATCTTGGAAGATTTTTAAATCAGATCTTTGATTTCAAATCATGGATCCGTCTTCCTATATCAATGGTTATGTCATTACGTCGGCGTCACACGTCAACCACTTCCCTCAAAAAACAAATATCTTATTTATTCAAATAAACGCCCTACTTTGAATAAATTCGTATTTCCTTCTCGAAAAAACTCCCCCACCAGAGTCTGATTTGGAATCGAATAAACGCTGCACATTTTTTTTGACAACCAAATTTACGCCTAAAAAGTAGAAAATACACAAACGATACAACAATTTTGGATTCGCATCGCGTACCATCCAGCAAAATAGGCTA